GCACGGCGGCGGCGGCCGCTGCTGTGCCGTAATTGCCTTCCCAAATATTCCTCTGTCTGAACTCCAAGCCCCCCCCCTCACCCCCGCCTCACCCCCGCCCCCACCCCCCTCCATCCTCCTTCATATCCTCGTCGTCACCTCCACTCGTGTGGTTCTCTCTCAACTTGACTTTGGGTCGACCGCCGCTCGACGGTCGCTCGCTTGATCCTTCTCCGCGGCTGCCCACCCTTGTCTGGGAGGGATTATAATCGCTCGCTCTCTCTCCTCTCCCTCTCCCTGTGTCGCTCATCTGGCTAACACTCGCGCTGATTACAAGCGCGATAAATGGATCTTAATTAATATCAGGAGCGTCCTGCTCGTCATGTTGGGGGCCACTTTCTCATGGCCCATGGTTTTTGTTGCGTGCGGGAGGAAATCAGAATGCTGGGAGAAAGCCCTCCCGGTGCGATTGGGCGTCACTCAAAACTCCCCGCAGGCATCTGCGTGGAGTCTCAGCGACTCGTAGTGTGGGGGTCTCTCTCTTCCCCGTCTCACAGCCGCCGAACGATCCTTCCCCTGCTCACTTCACGGGGCGCCCTCTCCCCATCCCGAGCCTTCACAACCTTGGGGGGGCCCAGCGCTGCCGCCTAAACCCATCGATCGTTTGCCGCGGCGTAAGACTCCACGTGCCGCACTCTCTGAGCCCCCCCCTTCCCTGACCCGCACTGACCAGCGCGGTGAAGTATGGTCACACAAGCCCCCCCCCCCCCCCCCCGCCATAGAGTGCAGCACCGCGCCGTCGTGCCACGTTCGTTGTTCGCTGCGGTGCGAGGGCGGAGATTGAGCGACGGAATCGGATCGCGTGGCAGGTGAATCGTGCCATCTCAGGACCATCGTGAGAGGTGGCCACGGCCTGGGGCGGCTGTTCATCCAGCAGTGGATAGATCGTGGCTGGTGGCGACGACGTCCCTTGAAGGGTTAACGTGGCCGAAGGAGCGGCAGGTGAACGAGATTGGATTCCCGGCTCCCCCTTTGTTTGTCATTTAAAGCTCGAGACGGAGGCCCCGACTGAACCCCGCTGAACCTTCCAGCGAAGATGGATTGAGGTCCTTCAGTTTAGCGCTTACACAACTGATCGTGTGTGTGTGTGTGTGGGATGTCGTGTTTATTGGTTTATCTGTGTATACACATACGTATGTGTGTATCTAGATTTGGGGCTGCACGTGTGTGTGTACCAGCCTGTGTGTGTGTAGTGTAGCGGTTAGCACGCTGCGTTCGATTCCCGCTCACGGCCAACGATGGAGACGATTTTTTAACCGGTTTTGGGCCTCCCCCTAGGTCGACTCAGCCTCAAATGAGGACCTGGTGCGGTGTGTAAACATCGCCACAGGGGACACAAAGGCGGCCGGGTGTGGTGCTGGCCACCCACCCCCTCGTGTGCTGTGCCGTCCTTCATAGGTGCTCGCTAACAGCACTTGCCCCAATGGTCTGTTACAGGCTCCACGGGGGATCTTTGTCTTTGTGTGTGTGTACCAGCCGTGTGTTTGTGAATTAGCACGTGTGTGTGTGTGTGTTTATTGGTCTCAATAAATTGTTATTTTCTCTCGTATCTCGCGCGTCGAATTTGCACCAACGTGGAGCCAAGCGAGGGATGGAACAGAAAGCGAAGATTAGATGGTGGAGCATCCAATTACGACGGTTATTAGGAATGCAAATAAGCAATTATCTGTAAACGGCTGTGTTAACTGTGTGTGTGGGGTAGGGGACATGGTTATTGTGCACGGAGACGGACAGGGATTTTTAATTTATACCCAGATAAGATGCAGTCATTCACATTAACACTACGCCTGCCTCTATACGTGTGTGTCTGTCTGTGTGTTGTGTGTATATTTGTGTCTTCGTATCTGTGTTGTATGTGTGTGTATCTATGTATCGTTGTCTTTTTTATTTTGTCTTTGCGTGTGCATTCACGTTATGCCTGTGTGGCGGTGAGCATCAGCACAATCATTCGTGCATTGCGCTACAAACCCGACAACCTGAGTTCAATTCGCGACCACGGCTAACAGTGGCGAGTGACATCAGAACTAATCCTGAATCTAAATTGACTGAACCGTAAATAAATTCCTGGCGTGATGTGCAAAACATTAGCACTGCTGAGACAAAGGCGTCGTGCCGCCCACACCACCACCGTTGTTCCGGCCTGAGTAAGTTCTCGCTAACAGCACTTGACCTAACATCCTGAAGCTTATATGGGCTATCTTTGCCTTTATGAATAAGTGACACACGTTTCGATAGCCACTGATGTTGTGTTTACAGTGGGTGTGAAATACAGCCACGCCAGCGCGGGTGCCCGCGTCTGTCTCTTGAACCCTCTAATCCTGCCGAGATGAGAGGATATTGACAGACGTGGTCTCGATGGAGCCAGCAGGCCCGTCAGAAAGTTACAAGACGATAAATTCCTTGATCTTTGATCGATACAAATGTTTTGCCTGTGTACGGAATGTTGGCAACCAACTTGAAAGATGACGCGCGTATTATGAGCAGGTGAGAGAGAGCTCATTTGAGATGAGGCATCTCCCTGTCACGGCAGACCTGGTTGGGGGGTTTAGTGAGTGCGGCAAAATAACCCCCCCAGGAAATTCCCAACCTGTGAACACAACCAAACTCCGAACGGCGAACTCGTCAACGCCATCCGCAGCTAAAGTGAGCATTGAGGCGGTGCTCATCTCACGTTTACAGCCCTGAGCCAGTGGTGGGAATTCCACATTCCTACGGCAGGGGCGAGTCTATCCATAGGACAACCACCGTTGACTTGCACACACAATGGTACTTATTTTATAAACCCCAGAAGAGTGATGGGCTGCGTCACCCCCCCCCCCCTCTCTCCCAAGCAGAATTTGAACTCCGAACCTTGCGATCACTGCAGGCCGCTCACTCGCTACCACCGGGCTACGCGGCCGGATTGGTAAACCGATCAAGCACGGGGCTGACTGACGCTAATCCCCGTGCGGTCCACCAACCCCAGCCCCCCACGGGCCCGGGTTCTTGGGGCCTGCATAGCCAGCGCCGTCAGCACCACACCCCCACCCTCCCCACCATCCCATTCGGCGATGTCTCTCCTCAAATTGAGTGATTAATGGCTCTCTGCGGGCAGTCCGTGAAGCCGTGGGATTTGCATCGGGAGCCGCGTGGGGGAAATTCAGTTTTTCCTCGTCCCTCCATCGGTGACTTTCATGCTGCGCAGCGGGCGGGAGACGGCGCGACGGATTATGATTTATGGTCGCCGTGAGTGGCGGCGGACACGGGGGTTGGTGGGGGGCGGGGGGAAGGGGGACAGGAGGGGGTGAGCGACCGGGCAGAATGTGGGGGGGGTAGGGAGGGTTGTGTCGGAGTTTTCGTGCGATATTTTTCTGCGGAAAATACCGTGGCGCCTCTCTGTCTGTCGCCCACTCGGGCCTGGGGCAGCGCTCGTTTTGAACGTCGGCCTCGGTTGAGGCGAAGGACGCAGCGGCGGCCAACGGAGGGGACGCGCCACGGAGGAGGTCCGCCGTGGAGTGTGTGAGCGGTGCGGTGGCGCTCGCGGTCGATTGCGGTGTCGTCTCTCCCGCTTGTTCCGCCTCCTGTTGTTCTGTTCGCTCAATCGGCATCAATTTCACATTCGCATATCCATTTGCGTGTAATTTCCACGAGTCAAAGGGAATCAATTCTCACGCCCAAGATGCAATGCGCATATCGTGAACATCATTGAATAGCTTCGAATCGACCACGTATTCGCTGTAAGCCGAGCGTGTATCCTCGTCCCGAACGATCCACCCGCAAGCAGTCCATCAGAATCGCGCATTAGCGCTCCGTTTTTTTAATGCAAGAATTAATTTCGTTCCGGCCCACGCGCACATGGATTCACGGGAGCTTACACACGTGCGCATGCACGCAATTACCATAATTAATGAAGAGTAATTAATTTAAAATCAAAAATTATATTGACTGCGTAATTGGCCAAGCCTGGTATAAACAGGGCAATTATGACGATCCAGCATAATTTTAAAAACATTCGCCAAACAAAATGGGAGGCTGCCGAGTGGAGAACGCCGTTCCACTCGGGGTGTTAAACGGGGAGCGGGGCTGGCGGCGGGGGGGCTGAGTGGGTTTGGGAGCTGGGGGGGAGGTGCTGGGACGGTGGGGGGGCTGAGTGGGGATGTGGAGGGGTGGGAGCTGAGATGATGGGAGGGTTGTGGCAGTGGGGGAGCTGGGGTGATCGATGCTTGAGCTCGCTCACATAAACATCACGGTTCAACATCATCGGGATTTTTTTCAGTCACCTAAAGAGTGCTTTTGATTTGTTTTTACTGGAATGGTCACGCTCGCCTCGCTGGGTTGTGTTGTTTTAATTCGCATCGGCCTCTCCAGATACTGAGCACCGCACGGCATGTTGGGAGAGTGATGGGGAGAGCGATGGGGAGCGTGATGGGGAGTGGTTAAGCAGAGTTCGGTGTGACGTGGTGAGTGGGTTAATGAGGTGGTGGAGAGCGTGGTGCAGATGTTTTTTGAAAGCGGTTGGTAAAAGCAGTGGAAAACGTGCTTGGAGAGCAGTGGGTAGTGTGGTGGGCATGATGCTTCGAGAGGAGCTGGATCGGGTGAGTGAGAGAGTGAGAGTGCTTGGAGAATGATTGGGAAAGTGGCTGGAGAGTGGTGGGAGAGAGACCAACACTAACCGTAACTTCGAACCGGGACCCTGTAGGGTGTAGATCACAGCCCCTCCCAGAGTTTTCCAGTCCCAGCTACCACGCACCTCTGGGTGTGTGAGCCCTGGTCGCTCGCAGAACAATTCAGCTGCCAAGGACGCAGCTACATTCTACGCGGGGCATTGCCAGCCACCAGCACCGCTTATCTTCGAGAAAAACATTGTCACCAAATCGGTCCACGCTTAAAGTTGCTGTGACCCTTTCCGCCATCTGTTCACATGACCCCCCCTCCCGGACTCCCCACTCACCCGGCCCCGGCACCGTTTCTCGCCACCGCAGGTGCCAAGAAGCACAGCCTCAAGGACACGCCGCCGCGCCGGCTGCCCCTGTACGACACGCCCTACGAGCCGCGGGACGGCGCCCCGGCCAGCCCGGGGGCCGGCGGCGGCGGCGGCGCCGGAACCCCTGGCGGTGGGGCCGTCGGCGGGGCCGTCGGCGGAGCCGTCGGCGGGGCGCCCGCACCGAGCTCCGGTGGGGTCGCCGGAGGCGCCGGCGGGGGAGGCGGCGCCAACAACGGAGGAGGCAGCGGGTGCGCCAGCCCCGAGGGAGGGGGGCCCCCGCTCACGCCGACGTCCGTCCGGACCCCGCCGTCGGCGCCGCCGCCGCCGCTTTCGGCTCCGGCTCACTCGCCGGCACGGGCCACCGCGCCGGCGCAGGGTCAGCCGGCCCAACCGCTGCCTGGCCGCGCCGCAGCCGCAGGCGAGCCTGCCCGGAGACCCGCCGGGGGAGCGAGCGCTGCCCCAGGACGACGAGAGACCGGCGGACGAGTACGACCAGCCCTGGGAGTGGAACAAGGAGAGGATCTCCAAGGCGTTTGCAGGTGGTGGAGCGGCGCGCGCCAGCGCGCTCGTACACTCGTACATGCGCTCGCACGTGCCCATGCACGCACTTGCATATCCGCACACTCTGAGCTTACACGCACATGTGCACTCACGTGCCTGCTAAGACAAAGCTCCCCCATATAGACGGCTCGAGCAAGCACCTAATTCCTACACAAAGACAAAGCTCCCCCGTATAGCCTTAGCAGGCTGTTGGGGACAACGGCGTTTGTGAGCACCTATGAAGGACGACATCGCACATGAAGGGGTGGGTGTCCAGCACCACGCCCGGCCGTCTTTGTCTCCCTAGTGGTGATGAATACACACTGCACCAGGTACTGACTTAAGGCTGAGTCGACCTGGGGGAGGCCCGAGACCGGATCAGATAATCGTCACTGGTGTTGGCCGTGAGCGGGAATCGAACCCGGGTCGCCGGGTTCATAGCGCAGCGTTGCGCTAACCGCTACACTACCGCTCCCCACTGTTCACACGTACACTATTGCACAGACACCTGTTCACACCTGCACATGTGCCTGCAGTCACCAACGCAACTTGCATTCACACGCTCCCTCACACTCGCACACTCCCTCACACACCCGCGTGCTCACACTCGCACGCTCCCTCACACTCGCACACTCCCTCACACCCGCGTGCTCACACTCGCACACTCCCTCACACCCGCGTGCTCACACTCGCACACTCCCTCACTCCCTCACACTCGCACACTCCCTCACACTCGCGTGCTCACACTCGCACGCTCCCTCACTCCCTCACACTCTCACACTCCCTCACACCTGCGTGCTCACACTCGCACGCTCACACCAGCAAGGGAAGCGACGTCCGTGTGAACCGCTTTTCCGCTAATTTTCTCCTCGTTTACGATTGCAGCTTTGCCCGAGCGGCATCCGGTGCGGGCTTGGGGGGTGGGGGGGGGGGGGTCTCGGCTTCCGCTCACTTTTGAATGCGGCCTCCAATCTGAGATTGTAAGCAACACTGTGGCCTTCATAGGGAAAGCGTGTAACATGTAAGCAACATGTAAAACGTGGCGGGCCACAACGGCCCTACTTCGTGGTACATCGAGAGGCGCAGGGCGCGTGGCGGGCAGCGGCCTGCTCGTGCGCTTCCTTGTTCAGGCTGCGGCGACTCCTCCGAGTGGTCTGTGCGGAGACGCACAGAGCGCGGGTGGCGCCCTGCACCCGCGCGCACAACGCCCTCGGGGTCCGGGGCGCCGAGAGTCGTTTGCTGCGCAGCCTGCCAAGACCGCGTCGAGTTGGCAGGCCAAACAGATCCTGAACATCGCCGGGCTGATTGACCGTGTCGATCGCGGCAGAGGCCTCGCTGTAGCCACCGTCTCGCCTCCCGCGTGAGCGCAGTGCGGATTTGTTTCTACTTCACTCGTAGTCTCGGCCTGGCTGACGACTCCCTGTGGACGCTCAGTCGAGTCTGCACGAGACGCCCGTGGTTGATCCTCTCGCCCACCTCGCCCACCAGTGAGCGAACTCAGTAAATCTCTTGATGTTTTGTGGACAGCCAATTACCGGTTTTGGTCTTCAGCTGTGCGCTGCAGCCTCTGGCAGCGCGACTAAATGATACCATTCCGCGTGTTCACTCCAACTCGTTTGTCTCGTCTCATCGTCCTTAATTTCGTCTGATCGTCGTTCATCTACTCTCATCTTGTGGTCATTCATCTCGTCACATCGTCGCACTTGGGTCGTCAGTGAGCAACAGTCATCGTCGTCATCGTTAGCCGTGATGAATTCCGTCCATGAGCTCTACAATTAAATAAAATCTCCCACTCTGACCCGACAAACATTTTCGTCGCTAATTCCATCAGCGAAATTAACTCTGCCCTCCCATCACCTTTCGCTTCCAAACCAGGGGCACCGGGTCTCGCTCCTACTACCAAGGGGATCGGATGCCTGCCTGACCCCCCCTTCTTCACCACCCCCCTCGGCACGGAGGGGAACGGCACTGGCAGGGGACAGGGGAAACGCGAGCGCAGTGGCTTTGTACATACGTGCGTTCGCCGGACAGCGACCGCACGGTCCGTCCCGTTGTTCTCGATCAGAGGGCCCACACAAAGACGCTGCCGCCACGGCTGCTCGGGACGTGGCTGGAGCAGCGCGGGGGGGGGGGCGGGTTATTGATGGAATCTCTCGCTCGGGGTGACCTGTAACATTTCCCTATCTTTGCCTCCTCGTTTGCGGCGAGTGATGCGGACCGACAGGGAACCGGTCCTGAGCCGGGGGTCGCTGCAGCCGAAGGGGCATTAGCAAAAAAAAGCAGCGGTGAGAGTGAAACGGGGGATGGAGAGAAAAAAATCCTCTCCGATAAATGTTGCGGCAATTCTTAAAGGGCTCGTAATTTGAATATGCTGTCTAAGCCCCCCTATTTCTTCTAAGCGATAAGGGAAAAGGTCAAGTGCAGCAAACTAATATTGAAATGTCATCGATGTCCTGTGGTCAGTGGCATTTACCAAACACGAGCGGGCATACGCGCGCCCTTGCGTCTGTGCATGTGCGTTGCTTGCGTCTGTGCGTGTGCGTTGCTTGCGTCTGTGCATGCGCGTTGCTTGTGTCTGTGCGTGCGCGTTGCTTGCGTCTGTGCGTGCGCGTTGCTTGCGTCTGTGCGTGCGCGTTGCTTGCGTCTGTGCGTGTGCGTTGCTTGCGTCTGTGCGTGCGCGTTGCTTGCGTCTGTGCGTGCGCGTTGCTTGCATCTGTGCGTGCGCGTTGCTTGCGTCTGTGCGTGCGCGTTGCTTGCGTCTGTGCGTGCGCGTTGCTTGCGTCTGTGCGTGCGCGTTGCTTGCGTCTGTTCGTGTGCTTTTGCTCGTGTGCACACATGCGTGTGTGTGCTTGCTTGTGTGCATGTGTGTGTATGTGTGTACGTGCACATGTGCGTGTACACGCTTGTGTCACGTGTGTCATGTTTGTGTGTACGCTTGTGCGTTGTGTATGTGTCTGTATTTATCGTTTCTTCCAATTTGAGAAAAAAAAAGTCTTGACCTCAAAGCCCGTGCTGAGACCCTCAACTGATTCCTCTTGGCAGGAGGAAGGATGTCGTCCGGTTATCGCAACCTTTAAAATTCCCGTTCGTCTCCAAGGGAAACGATTTTTGAAAAGAAAAAAAACATAATTTGGTTGCCGGAGGTGCTCGGTTATTGGAGGCCGTGTGTTGAGTTATGGACGGTGGTGGGAACGTGGCACGGGGAGCCCCATTTTGGGGGGGAAATAGAGAGAGGGGGAAAGAGAAAAAAAACATGTTTTGAACCCCGAGCTCCGTCAACTGTCGCGTGTCATGGGCGTGCGCGTCGTCAATAATTCCGCCCGGCGCAGATAAGTGCCGGGAGAGAAAATTGCTTTTTGTGCCCGAGCATCGGCGGAGCGAGACGCCCATTGTGAGAGGCAGCGGCCGCCCCCTGTCGCTCCACGAGCGGCCCAAGGGGGAGGGGGGGGATGGCATCGCGGCCTCCACGGGATGTGACCTTTGACACCCATTCCGCTCTCCCGAGCGCCGCCACTCTCCCCCGCTCTCCCGGCTTCACCGCCGCGGCCGTCGCGTTGCAACGCCGGCAACGCTCTCCGTTGCTCGCGCTTGGCGCCGATCCGTCGTCTTTATACGGCGCCGCCTCCACGTGCCAAACGCAGAGAACTAAATCATCTGCGGCGCCGTCGCCCAGCGCGCCCCGCCGGGCCCTGCTCTCTTCTTCTCTCGTTTCACCTGGCCGCCTGTCCTCTCCCGCTCTCCTCCCCCGTTCTGCTCTTCCGCTCGCTCACCGGTGCAGCTAATGGCTACGTTACGGCTCGGCCTACCTCGTGTGGTGTGCGCTCTCCACGCTATCGATCGCTCCACGTGGCGTTGGCCGTCGCGGCCCCTCACTGCTCGCCGCTCCTCTCCCGTGATCCGTTTTGATGGCGGAGGAGGAAAGGTGAAGGGGGCTGGAACCAGATGCAACTCTCGCGTCTAAATTGCTCGGATCTGCTTTGTAGGAGTGAGAGTTTCTTCGTTCGAGCGATGGTAACTTAAGCAAGGAGAGGGAAGGAGCATACACATTTAATGAAGGCAGAACCGTGTGCAGGTTTCATGTTGCAGATGACAGACACTGGGCATTGATTTGACGGCGCTGCTTTGTAGTTCCTCATTAGCGTGTAACGTGTACCATTAAACACTTGGGAGAGTTTTTTTTTAATCTGGCTAATTAGAAAACTTAAAACAGTCATGTCCTCAATCGCCACCAACTGTACAATGCCGAATTCTGATCATTAAACTCCTTTGATGGGCTGCAAGAGAAAGACAAATCCAAACACAATGATGGATTGTCAAATAGATGGACACAGCCAACGTTGATCAACCGACCGAAGCTCAGGAGCGAGGAGAACGGGGGACGGGCGGCAGGGATGGGACGAGATATCCGGAGAACTGCCGCCACTGGGAGTTCGCGATGAACCAGGCCGAAGGACGACGGCGCCTGCCTTGGCTTGACAAGACCCGCTGCCGAGCGAGTCTGATCCGCAGCCTCTCATGCGGAGTCGCCTCCGTGGCACCGGCGTTCGGGTGAAGATCTCCTCGCGACTCTCATCACGTGGCAACGAAGATGCGTGCTGTGTAGAGCTCCTCGCTCCGTTTGCTTATCCAACTTCTTAGAAGGCTGAGGAGTCGCAGGCCTCCATTGTGCACCTTCAATCCATGAGTTTTTTTCTTCGTTCATCTTCCGAGTTTTCACCTTGCAGTTCTTCTGTCCGTGTGCGTACGTCAATCACACCGCGGCCTTAATAGGATAAGTAAATAATGGGTGACGTTTCAGGTATTGACCCTTCTTCACAGCGATGGATGGGTCATTACCCGAATCGTCGCCTCTTATACAGTTTTCATTTTAAGGCCACAGTTTTATCTGACGGATGTGTTGAGTTTATTGTTGATTGTGCACGATCGCTGGCGCAGCACCATCACCAAACAATTCATTCTGCGCGGTCTACCCGTGCACCTCCTGTTTGTCAAAGCGCTCGGTGTCGGCACTGCGAGTGCCCAGCGCACGTTCGGCACGGCCCCGCGTTATATAATCTGCGCGGCAGCGTCGGGGGCGGTGGTGCCGGCCGTGTTAAGGCTCCTGATGCCGCCTGCTCCGTGGAATTTGAACCCAGCGTGGTGAACCTCCGAGCGTCGATCCTCGTCTCTCCGCGAAGCGACAGCTTGGCTTCTCGGGCCCTTCGGGGGCCGTGTGTCACTGAGCTCCGAGCATTCGACTCGCATCCTGAAGACGCGAGTTTCGAATCCCGTTCGCAGTCGATAGCTCCACCGTGCCTCGAGAGTCTGCTCTGATGAGTGTGACAATTTGTTGTAGTGAGCAGTTGTGTCGTGGCATCACTGGCTCCGGTGACGCCGCTGGAGGTGCGCTCCGCCGCACTCCTCCCGCTTGTGCCGGGCGAGACACTTTGTGCTTCTTCTCAAAGGTCGGCCGAAAATTCTAAATCTGTGCAGGAGGAGAAGGCAGTCCGCGATTTCATGAGCCAAGGACTCGGTGCGCCGAGGGAGGGGCGGGGCGAGCAGAGAGGAGAGAGGGGTGGGTGGGGGGGCTGAAGGAGAGTGGGGGGGGGGCAGGGTGGGGGGCGCAGACGCCCGCGAGTCCCCTGGGCCCCAGGACAGGGCTGCGTGGATGAGATAAGCCTCGTTCACGCTGGGCGTAGGAATTAAGAGAAACTTCCATTTCCTGCGGCGGCGGCAGTGGAGGTAGCGGCGGTAGTGGCGGTAGCGGCGGTAGCGGTGGTGGAGGGCGAGCCGGGAGAGAGGAGTGGGGAGCAGGGAGCCGGGAGCTGGGAGAGAGGAGTGGGGAGCGGGGAGCCGGGAGCTGGGAGAGAGGAGCGGGGAGAGGGGAGAGGGGAGTGGGGAGCGGGGAGCCGAGAGCCGGGAGAGGGGAGTGGGGAGCGGGAAGCGCTCTGCTGGCAGCCTCGCCCGGTCGCGCTGCCTTCCCCGAGGCTGGCGCGACTCACGCGCGCGTTCCCGCCACTCGTGGGAACGCTGTTGCACGCGCGTGCGTGATCGGTGGTGCAGTGGTTAGCGCACTGCGCTACGAACCTGGTGGCCCGAGTTCCGATTCCCGTGCATGGTCGACTCAGCCTTAAATGAGTGCCTGGCACGGTGTGTGAACATCAGGAGACAAAGGCGGCCGAGCGTGGTATTAGCCACCCGCTCCCCCTTGTGCCATGCCGACCTTCGTAGGCACTACTTGCTTACAGCGCTTGCCCCAACAGTCTGTTAAAGGCTATACAGGGGGGTCTTTGTATATGTGCCGTAAATCTCTCATCGTCGTCATCAGCCGTGGCCATTCCACCGGTGGATGAGCCAGCAGTGGCCGGCCGCCTCCTCTCACGATCCTGCGGAGCGATAACCCCACGAGGAGCTGATTTCATTGCTCCACCTCCACGGTGGATGTCCTCTCGGACGCGTTCCATTCCGTGTTCTTACTCCGTCACTATTCTTGGCCGTTGGCCATCGTCCCTTCTGGCGACACGTCCTGCCCAAGCCCACTCAGTGTAGAATGTGTGGATATAAAAAATATAAAACATTCGTGGAAGTATTTTTCCCTGTTTAGCTGTAAAGTGTCGTCGGCAAGCACCTATTAAGGCCGGAACACACACGGGTACACGATAACAACGGCAGCTCCGATGGTGGTGACATCACCACAGCGATTGTGCCAGGCTAAGTGCACTTTGAGGCTGCCATGTGAAGTTTGGACAGGCTCTCTGGCAGGGAGGTCTCGGGGCAGACCCCAGGTGTTAGGGGTTAAGTGACTGAGATGATTGGCAGATGCACCACCTGTGCTCCCCACTGCCACTGGCACATGCACATACACACACACACACACACGGCAAATCAAAATCACATCGTCTCGCTCGTCAAACCAACTGTTCAGGCGCTCATCTCCTTTGTTGGTCCTGAGCCAGAGCTGAAAATTCCACATTCCTATGGCTGGTGCCATCCTCTCTATGGAACAGCGATGCAATGCCGCAGACGAGCGTGCACGGATTTGATTGTGTGAGATGGGGGAAGTGGCCTTTCCAGCGTGGGTGTCGCAACGTGGAATCACTCCGTGTTGGCGCTGGGTGATTGGGTCCACCTGTCAATTGTTCTGTCACTGTGCAACCGTCCTTTTTCCAATCACGTGTTGTTATTCTTTTCTCCTCTGGCCCTTGTGCTCTCTCTATATCTCGCTCTCTCTCTCGCTCTCTCGCTGGCTCTCTAAAACACACAAGGCGGTGGGCTCTGTGAGCCAAGAACACAGCATCAGGGACTGCTTGTTCGAGTTTATCCACAGCCCGGGGGAGATGAGTGCATGGTCCTGCCTGCATGGCTGCCACAAGCCCATTCTCCCTGCCCCCACCGCGTTCACGAGAAGCCCGTGCGATCAATCACCGTCCTCGTGGGCGAATGTAAAACGAGTAATGAACCTTCTCACTTTCGTTTCCTACACGGCCTCTGACCAGCAGCGTAGCGAGGGCGGCGCGGGTCCTGGTGCGGGGAGTTCAACGGTGGGACCCCTGTAGTCTGGCCCCTGGGCCCTGTGCAGTTGCACCTCCTGCACACTCAAAGTGCACGGATTGATTTACACGCAAGCTCGTATCACGCACGTGTCCGCCTGTGTCTGTGAATGCGCACCTCTAGATATTGACCGATGCGTCCTCGCTTATGGCCAGAAAGTCGAGGCCTCAGGAGCGTTGGTTGACCTTTGCGGAAGGAAAATGGTTGTTGCGAGCATGTCGTGGTCGAGGAAGTTTTCACGATGAAGTATGACGCTACCGCGCGCGGTCGTTTTGTTGGGCCGCGTCTGAACGTCACCTAACGGCGGCGCCGCCCATTTCACTCCCCGTCCCCGCTGTTTTCTCCCTCGCTGCGCACCGCGGGAGGCAGGGCGCCGGCGCTTGGAGGGCAAAGGTAAAAAAAAACCCGCGTGGGACTTTTCTCTTGTTTTGCCGGCTTCGCCGCCGTCCATTCTCCCGTCGGTCCCCGTTGGCACGCGCGGGGCCGACCTGCCGCGCCGTTTGTGGCGTTGCTCTGCCGCTGCTTGGAGGCGCTCGCCTATCGACCGCGTCGCTCCCGTAATTTGCGGCGGTTAGCGGGGGTTGAGATTGTGCCCCCTGATGTTTGTGTTCCGCTTGCGCTGCGCCCAACGCTGCTGCTTGCTGCCACGTGCCTGCCTGCCTGCCTCGCGGCATCACTCCCGGCTTACCTGCCTCATGGGCACATGCATACTGTACTCAATGTGTTAACGTACTTGCCTACCTTTCATTTACCTACTCTTCCACCCATCTATGTGGCTACCAACCACGTCACCTACCTGCTTAATTACATACCTACCTATATCACTACCATCTTACCTGCACACTTTCTTACCTACGTGAGGAGCAACCTTCTCACCTTTCAACCTACTTACCTACCTGTGTGACTTCCAACCATCTTACTTAACGACGCCATGACCGATTTGCCAGCCAGGTTACCGATCCACCAAACGACTCGTCGCGCTCGTCAACGACCCCGTGGCCTCAAAGGAAAAGTAAAGAACGAGCGACTTCCAGGGCAATGGCCCTTCTGGCTTGATGGCGTGTGTAGAGATGCGCCAATCTCCACCTCCGCTTACCTACGGACCAGTGGGATGTGTCATTTTGTAGCATTGGTGTAAGTACGCCTCAGTTGTGTAACACGCGGGAAGAGCTATTGCCACACAGTGGTGCTGATGATGATGATGATGGAGACTGTAAGAGCAGACCATGGACGTCACGTGTTGACTTAGCAATAGCTGAGGAATCTGGCAAAAGGAAGGAAGCGATGGCTTTGTGTGGCGGCATCATCCACATCGGCCATGATGACACCTTGACCTGCATGTGATGTTCAACGATTCGGGCAAAACTTAAAACGAGTGACCACCCCGCCACCCCCAGTACCTCGTACCCGGAGCGAACTAGGGACACCCGCACGTTTAAGGCGGCGGTGGCTGCGTCCGTTTCGCGGAGACGCTGGAACAACAGCGGTGCCGCGACGGGCGTGGGCAACTTCCCATGAAAACCGAAACGGCCGGTGTTTGTTGGTGAACACCGGATCGTGGAATATTAATTTCCCCGCCCTTCCTGTCGCTCCCACCACCACCAACACCACCACCACCCAGCTCCACAGCGACCGGCTACAGCGGCCGATCCGCGAATCAGAAAAAAAAAATTTAACCCTCGGAAAATTGCTCCGTTTCACCGGCTGATTGTGTGTAAGATTTGTCGGGTTTTTTTCCCGGTGCATATTATATCTCGGCGTTAATGATGGCGCAGCAAGAGCGGAGAGCGCAATGCGGATCGAGAGCAAACGGGAGGTCTCGCTCCGCGGTGAGCGACGGGCTTAGGACGAGGGCAGAGCGTGGTGTGGGGTAGAGTTAGGGGTAGAGTTAGGGGTAGAGTTAGGGGTAGAGTTAGGGGTAGAGTTAGGGGTAGAGTTAGGGTAAGTTAGGTGTAGAGTTAGGGGTAGAGTCTGCTTGATGAGAATATCAGGGTTGGCGCTGCAGTCCGACTGGTTCTAATGGTTATGGTTAGTGGCAGTGCTGCATTCTGCTTGCTTCGTGTAGATAAGAGTGACGTCGTACTTTGCCAATACGGTCTTGGATAAAAAGTCAAAGAGCCTACATCGGCAGGTTCGAGCTAGTGACAGAACATTTCACATTCCTAAGACAGGGGCTATCTACAGGACAGCAACTGCTGGCTTTCCACAAAGCGTCGCTCCGGCTTTATTGTCGACTGACCTAGCGACACGGCCGAATGCCTCGACCGCGAATCGAACCCCGTGCCCTCTCCGGCCGCGACTCAGTGGCGGCTGCGAGCGCAGCGCCCTAGCTCGAGTCGGCCGCACACGTTCGCCTGCCCCCCCCCCCCCCTCTCTCGGCGGCGCTGCCACGGAGCGGGCGAGCGAGCGAGCGATCGTCCCGGGGCCCCCGTTTGTCACGAGGACGGTGGCGCGCGCCGCCGCTGCCGCCCCTCTAATCCGTCAACACGTCGCACTTATGTTTCCAGCGGACCCGACACCGCTGGGTACAAATTTATTCCGCGAAACGCCTCGGTTCGCAAGTGACAATCTTGAGCGGTTGTTTTGGGTAGGAAATTGCGCAGCTGTGAAACGCGTGGCTGTGCCTGGGTCGCGTTGTTAATGCTCCGAAAAGTGGAAATTGGCTGCCGCTGAGCGTCATTTGGGGGTCACAGTTACAAGCAGCTGCGCCCTCGCTGGCATTTTCCACGCTGTTGTTTTACTGAGTGTAATGCTGCGACTTGTGTGTGCGGTGTGTGTAGTATGATGTGTGTGGTGCGTGCGGTGTGTGTGTGGTGTAGGTGCGGTGTGTTTGGTATGATGTGTGCGGTGTGGGGTGTGCGGTGTGTGTGGTGTGTGTGCGGTGTGTATGCGGTGTGTGTGGTATGGTATGTGTGCGGTGTGTATGTGGTGTGTGTGGTGTGGTGTGTGCGGTGTGTGTGGTATGATGTGCGTGGTATGATGTGTGTGGTCTGTGCGGTGTGTGTGGTGTGTGTGTGGTGTCTGCGGTGTGTGTGCGGTGTGTGTGGTATGATGTGTGTGGTGCGTGCGGTGTGTGTGGTATGATGTGTGCGGTGTGCGTGCGGTGTGTGTGGTATGGTGTGTGCGGTGTGTGTGCGGTGTGTGTGGTATGATGTGTGCGGTGTGTGTGCGGTGTGTGTGGTATGATCTGTGTGGTGTGTATGTGGTGTGTGTGGTATGTGTGGTATGGTGTGTGTGCGGTGTGTATGTGGTGTGTGTGGTATGATGTGTGGGGTGTGTGTGGTGTGGTGTGTGTGCGGTGTGTATATGGTGTGGTGGTATGGTATGTGTGCGGTGTGTATGTGGTGTGTGTGGTGTGGTGTGTGCGGTGTATGTGGTATGATGTGTGTGGTATGATGCGTGTGGTGTGTAAGGTGTGTGTGCGGTGTGTGTGCGGTGTGTGTGGTGTGTGTGTGGTGTCTGCGGTGTATGTGCGGTATGTGTGGTATGATGTGTGTGGTGTGTGTGGTGTGTGTGCGGTGCGTGCGTAGTGTGTGGTATGGTGTGTGTGTAGTGTGTGTGCGGTGTGTGTGTGTGGTGTGTGTGGTATGGTGTGTGTGTGGTGTGTGTGCGGTGTGTGGCATGATGTGTGCAGTGTGTGTGCGGTGTGTGTGCGGTGTGTATGGTATGGTGTGTTTGTGGTGTGTGTGTGGTGTGTGTGCGGTATGATGTGTGCGGTGTGTGTGCGGTGTGTATGGTATGATGTGTGTGTGTGTAGTATCGTGTGTAGATGGTTCTAGTGTGTGTGTGGTGGTATTGGGTGTGTGGGGTGGATATGTGGTGGAGGTTGGAGTGGTGTTGACCACCCACCCCCTCCTGTGTTACTCGCTATCGGCACTTGACTTTAAGAGGGGTCTTTGTCTTTGTGTATTCCGGTAATTCACACATTTTCTCCACACCCAGTGGCCTGCATTTCTTATCTGGTCACGGCTAAAATCAGTCACAAGTAACATCGTAACAGGTTCTGACCCCTGCCTAGGTTGATTCGGCCTTAAGTGAGCACCTGGAGTGGTGTATAAATATCAGTGTGCGAAGATAAATTGGGGAGTTGTGTCTTCGTCCGCGCTTGTGGATGGGGGCAGCTGGATGCATGCGCCTGTCTGTGTAGGTGATGCATGTTGCATGCCTTGGTGCACATCTGTGGGCACGTGCTCTGCATGCGTGCGAGAGCGAGCCTGAGTGCCTGCGTGCGCGTGCGAGGGTGTATGGGGGAGCGGTGGAGCAGTGGTTGGTGCAATGTGCTGCAAACCCGGCGAGCCGAGTTCGATTCCCGCTCAAGACCAACATTGCTGACGAATATCCGAATCGTCCCGTGGGTTTCTCCTAGATCGACTCAGCCTTAAACGAGTACCTAGCGCGTTGTACATCTCAGCATTGGTGGCCGGGCGTGCTGCTGCCCACCCACCCCCTCGTGCGCCATGCCGGCCTTAGTAGGTGCTAGCTAACAGTACTTGCTCCAACTATTTGTGAAGGCTATACGGGGGATCTTTGTCTTTGTGTGCGCATGCACACGCTGGGTCACGTGACGGTTGCCCGTCCGCTGTTTTTCTGGCCGCGATTGCGATTTTAAATCCGGCTCTGAGCTCACCGCAGACGCAGAATCAGACGGAGCGACGCTGCCGTGCGCGCGATCCGGAGAGCGTCGCTCTCCGGATGGGAGTCGGAGCCCGATGCGGTGTTTGCGTGGGAGCGGTGCATGTCACACATTCATAATTCACACGCCTGGCGGAATCAATTCGCCGTTGCGCGCGTCGGGTTACGTTTTCATTCCAGGTCTCACCGTAATGGAACCGACCATAATCTGGCAGGATCTCGTTTTACTTCACCCGTGCCGCAGAGTTAATAATTGAACGAACAAATTATGTTAATTCCCTTCTGCGACCCCTTCCCCCTCCTCGAGCAAATAGTGGGCAGCCATGGGGAGCAGGGTTTTTGAGTGAGAAATGAACACGCTGGTGGTGACAGCGGCGCGGCGTGATTGGCAGAGGCCCCGCTCGCGTGCAAGGAATGAGATGAGGCCACCTCTCCGACTTCCGCCCTTCTCCGTGGCCCAGCGGTTCATGGACCGCAGTGCAGTTGAACCGCCTGCACACTCGATAGCGACACCTCTGGGCGGTGGTAGCAACCCTGTGGGACATGGCTTCAACAAGGCCCCGACGCGGAGACCCTGTCTGAGCAAAGGCTGCTGTGGGTCATTGCTCATTGTACTTTGTATATCTCTTTCATTATCGACATCATCTTCATCACAGTCATCATCGTCATCATCAGCTGCTAGTAGGGAGGGATGCCTCCACACACTGCTGCCACCTCTCGCGATCCTGCGATGTCAGAGCCACAATCCCTCTCACTCGGAC